CGAGGGAGAGAGGAGAGAGAGAGAGAGGATGGAGGAGAGAGAGAAGAGAGGGGTGGCGTTCGTGAGATGACCTCGACTACAATTGCAGAGCTTTTGCGCAGGACCTCTCGCCCGAACACGAAAGAGAAAGAGAGAGGCGATTATCACGTCAGTTTGTTCCAAGAGAGACATTTGCTTTTTATTTTATTTTTGTTTTATACATAGTATTTTTTTATAGAAAGAAATGGGCCTTATATAAACTTTTTCCTTATATAAAGGACTATATGCACCAACCTTAGGTTTATAAATTCTAATATTTGTTAAAGATAGTTTACAAATATTGCCGTTTGGATAGGTGGATCAACCTGAGCTACAACAAATCCTATATTTGGCTCATCTAAATATAAACTGGTTTATTCAATCAAATATTTAAATGATTACTCAGAGTAACGATCACATAAGACCCTCCCACATTTATGTGCGTAGGATTTAAAAGGATCTTCATTAAATATGGCACATTTCTCTAAAAAAATCAAGTTCCACACCGATGTAATAATTTTTCTAAAGATCTGTATCATATTTAATAGTGATCATTTAAAGTCCTGTACATATGGGTACGGAAGGATCTCACAAGATCATCACTCTTACTCTTCTAATTATAAATATTTTAAATAAAAATAATACATATATAAATATCATAATCACATAATATATCATAGTTATAATAATGCAATATCATTTTATTAGCATTAATGTAATATGGTGTTATATGTTACTATTATGATATAGTGTTATTATATTATAATACAAACATTAATAATATTGATCATATGTCATAATATTTAAAAGAAAAAAGTTTATATAAGGTTACAACTTAAAAATGTAGAATTAAAAGTGCACATCAAAAATCCATCATAAAAAGTTGTTTTGATGTTAGAAAACCCTTTAATTGATCATCTTGACATCGAGATGTATGAATATGAAAAGAAACAATAATTTCAAGTCCGAGAAATAGTGCATCTTGCAACACATTATTTGAATTGTTCATTTTCAAGATTTTCCTGTGATTATAGATCTACTTGATTTGAACCATTTTTATAAATTTAAGTTTTATAATTAAAGATGAAAATAGATTCTTAAGACATGTTAAGAATTTTTTATACCAAAATTATATTTATGATAAAATTTAGAGGTGCGCTTTAATTGAATTGTTTAAGATTGCAACTTTATTGAAACCACACCCATATTTAAAATAATAAAAGAACACTATAAATATTGTAATTATATAATACCATGAATATTTTAATTATATAGTAGTATTATAATTATAATAATTATATAATAATATAATATTATTTTATTAGTGTTTATATAAGGTTGCAACCTTAAAATATAGAACTACATACGCACCTCAAAAATTCATCGAAAAATGTTGTTTTAATGTTGAAAAACCATGTAATTGATCATCTTGGCATCGAGATGTATGAATACGATCAAAAAAAAAGAAGAAGAAGAAGATTGAGTTAGAGAAATAGTGCAACTTGAAATATATTATCTAGATCGTCCATTTTTAAAATAGATCTACTTGATTTTAACCATTTTTGGAGTTTAAATTTTTATAATTAGATATGAAAATATAGTTTTAGATGATCCTAATAATTTTTTACATCAAAATTACATGTTGTGATAAAATTTGGAGGTGCACCGTAATTGGATGTTTAAGGTTGCAACCTTATATAAACCACACCCTTAATATAATATTATAATATTAATATATATTAAAATACATAATATTTGAATATTAATCTATGATATTTTATCGAGAATTACATACTTGGATTTCCAAGGAATTGCGCATACAGGGATTCAAAAGAGAATCGAACTCATCCAAGCCACAATCTATATTAGGTTTTCCAACTAATTTGTTAATCAAGGATCCGAGTCAAGGAAAGTAGAAGGTCTAATTGGATAATTCATTTATGTGGATTCCCCCTAGTTAACACTTGAGACGAGGCAAAAATGGAATCGGCGAGCTCATAAGATAAATGCCCCTTCAGCAGAGATATAATGAAATCAATAAGTCATTTGAACTCATTTGTTTGTTTTGTTTGTTGCGAGCAATGAAAAGACAAAAGTATTTTCAGTTCCTAATACTAGTCCTTGTTAGATCCGATAGTACCCATTTTGGAAAGATACAGTGCCAAAGCACACTACTTAATGAATAAATGGCAATCCCTAAAACCTATTATGTAATGTACTACATTTGTTAGGATATATGGTGGAACATTTTACTAGAAGTTTCTATTCTATCAATGTGCCCTTATGTGATTCAGATCCGTTCTTTTTCTTATTCAAAGATCATGCCTTTGTCTTGGGTTTGCATGCCAATAATTTTTTTGCAGGTGACTACATATCAAAGGGGCTTATTACTTTTCAAACACATTCTCCAGCATCGATATATGAACACTGGTTTAAAATGATAGATGAAACTAAAAGCACATAAACAATTTTAAAATAAAAGGTTTTTTGGTATATCATCCAATCAAATAAAGAATATGGACTTGATTGATTCCCCTGTAGTACACTTTTGATCGAAAGAGTTTTTCCAATTTCAACAACTTCACTTTTTGATTTTATTAAAATTTTACCATTTCCTTTCCCTTTAGTTGGACTAGGTACTAAATGCCAAAAAGATTTTGGATCAAATGTAAAAATGTAATGTAATATCAATATGTAAAGATAATAACATAATGTTATGATGACAATATAATTATAATAATATTACATATAGATAATTATATAAGAATGTCATAATTATTATATTTAGAAAATAATCTAATATCATCTTATTAGTATTAATTATCATAATATTTATCAATATTATAATAAAAGTACAATTTTTTTAATATTAATATAATACGATATTAATATATTAAGATAGCATAATATTGTAATAAAAAGATATTGATATTATACATCATTATTATAGTATTAATATTATTATATTATAATAACATATTATAATAAGGGTGTGGTTTGTATAGAGCCCAGGCTCCAAATAATCAAATTAGAGCCTGCCTTCAAATATTGTAGAGAAATGTGGTTTCATTATTGTAAACCTTTGTGATAGACTTAAAATATATTTTTATATTTATTTATAAAGTTTAAAGCTTCAAAACTAGTGTGTATCAATAGATCTATAAAAACTTGAAAATCTTGAAAATTTGACAATAAAAAAATGCGTTACAAAATAAACTATTTCCAAAACTTGAAATCCATTTTTTTCTCATCTCCATGCATCTTGATGTCGAGATGATCAATTTGAGGATATTTGGGCATCAAAACAACATTTTCTAGTGCAATTTTTGAGGTAGGCTCTCATTTAATTGTTTAGAGCCTCAACTCTATATATAAACTTTTCCCTTATAATAAGATTGATGATCTTTAATAATAATATTTAAAATAATAATAATAGTACTAAATATTAAATATCATAATATAAAATAGAAAATTATCTTCATATCCTATATTTTTAGATTTTATTTATTAATAAACCTAATGTTTCAAAAAAGATCTTCCAACCCTTGGTCACTTTAAACTTATTTTTTAACTTAAACAATTATGATAATGACATGCTCTTTCTAAACCCAATCCTATATCTCTCTGTATTTATATACCTCAAACTTCACTCGTTCTCTCTTTTGTTACGTGTTTCACTATTTCTTCTCCCGTGTTTATTCAAAAATATATGTCTCATCTTGATAGCCTCTCACCACCAAACATCTCTCTCTTTGTATTTATCCAAACACTTATCTCTTTCTTGTCGGTACTCTCATCACCAAACACCTCTTTCCCTGTGTTTATCCAAATAGTTTTCTTTCTTTTCATATACTAAGTGTGTATTTGGTAGGAGAGAGAGTGAAGGGAGAAAGAGCGAGAGGAGGGAGAGTGAGGAAAGAGAGCCAAAAGAGCGAGGAGAATGAGCCGAAAGAGGGAGGGTGAGGGGTTAGAAATGGGAAAAACATGTATTTGGGAGGAGAGAGAGTGTAGGGAGAAAGAGCGCGAGGAGGGAGAGTGAAGAGAGAGCGGAATGAGGGAGGGTGGGGTTAAATATAGAAAAAATGGAGAGAGGAGTACGGGAGAGAGAAAGAGATATAAGATGGTTTTTATAAAAAGTATATTTTTTTATATTTGTTTGGCTTTAACTTACTTCAAGAAATTTTTTAAAATTTTAGGTGTATTGTGAAATGAATCTTAAAAATAAAAATTATGGGTTATTTTATCTATAAAATAATATCATTATTGTAATGAATGAGAGAAAAAAAATAAAAATAAATATATAGGACAGCGGCGCGTGCCCTATACAAACGCCAGCAAAGTTTGTATTTGCTCATTTCAAGCTCTGGACTGAGCAAATGTTGGATATAACCGTAAGTTCTGGTAAAAGTCGAAACCCTCCTTTGCCCCCTTTACTATTCCTCTTAAGGAAAATGGCTGCGGAGGTTTTGGCTGTGCGGTAGGTTGTTGGTGAAAGTCAGAACACAGAGGATCGTGAAAAACGCGAGCCATCTCGCTAAGCAAAAGACAGCAGGCACCAGCACCTCTGTAATCATCTTGCTTTCTCCCCAGCAAAACAGCAGCTCATATGCGAAAGCTTCCTCTTGCCAAGCAC